GAAACGACGGCCAGGCCGACCAGGCCACCAGACAGGATGGACTACCTCACGGACGTAGCAGACACTCGCGGGTGACCTAAGTTGTAACTTTTACACTTAGACAAATTTCAAAATTGAAATGGCAAAAGGCAATAAACACACAAGAAACTCAAAGCCGAGCAGGACAGCAAGATTTTCATTCATAAGCAATTCAGTACAATGGTGGGCGCTTCGGCCATTACATCAATTGGGCAAAAATAAAAAACTAATTACAAAGGAGCGGGGAGTAGCCGATCAAGCCTCTTGGGCGCCTCCATCCTCGGCTGGCTCTTCGACGTCTTCGGCTCCCTCATCGGCCTCAGTCTCCTGGCCGGCAGCAGCCGCAGAACTGGTAGCGTCGTCCAGGAAGTCAAACTCCGTGTAATCCGGCTCGCCGAGGCCGGAACTCTCGATGGGGGACTCCCGCTCCGACAGAGGAAGCTTGGCCTGCTCTTCGGGATCTTTCATCAACTTGGGAAGCTTCAAGTTCCGTCTAGCCCACCCGGAAGTATAATTCATGGCCTTAAGAGCACGAGATAGCCGCCGACACAGGAGCCTCTGCATCCGCTCATGGCCCATGTTATAGTACACGGCCATCTCCCTGCTAAAATACTCCTGGCCGGCGGGGGAGTTCATCCCCCAATCTTCAAGCTTAGCGGCCACCACCTCATAGCACCAGGAGAGCCGCTCATCGGCCTTCCACCCCTCGGCCAGGAACTGCTTAACGGCCTCATCAGCAGCCTTCACAGCGGCAGCCTCGGCCTCAGCTTTCGCCTTCACGGCTTCATCGTTTTTGCGCCGTTCGGCCTCAAGCGCCCTCTGGCTCTCCTCGAGTTTGGCCAGGGCATCGTCCCTGGCTGCAGCGGCCTCGTCGGCCCTCTGTTGCAAGGCCTTGGCATCCTCCCGGAGCCGATCCAAGCAAGCTACCGCCTCATCGGCCGAGGCAGCTTTCTGCTCAAGCTCTTTCAGACGAGCTATCTCCCGGTACTGCCTCTTGTGGCTCTCCATGAGCATGAAGGCACCCTGCATAAAAAAGGCAAACAAAACTCAGGCAAAGGATTCCACCCGGACGACGAGAAAAACGATAAATAAAAGGAAGGGAACTTACTTGGACGAGGAGGTCCATCCCGCCTTCGTATACCTTCACGTCCCCGAGCCTCTTCAGATAGGCCCTATCTTTGGCCGGCATGGCCTGGGCCAGCCCATCGTGGCCGAGGACGACATCATCAAAAACACCCCCGCCGACGGGGTATTCCACCATCTTCTGGTAGGTAGCAGCGGCAATCTCCTTACCGGCCCTCTTCGTCCGTGGCTCCTGGACGAGAGGGAGCGATTGGGCGGCATCGCTTGGAGCAGCAGTGAGGTCCACAACAGGACCACTATCGTCCACACTGGGGACGGTCAGAGTGCCGGCCTCAGTAGCCTGGGAAGGAGACGGTGCCCTCTTCGTCTTCTTAGTGACGTTCAGGCCGGCCTCGGTCAATTTCTTCTGGCCGTCAGTGGGAGGCCTCTTCTTTTTGGACTGAGCAGGCTTTGGGGCCGCACCAGCAGTAGCCCCGCCTCCCTCGGTTGCGGCACGTCTGGCCGCCTCGGCCGCCTTTGCAGCCAACTCCTCGGCCGCCTTGGCCTTGGCAATAGCCATGATTGAACGACGATCTATGGCAAAATCTACACAAAGGAAAACGAACAAATTAGCAAGGCAAAAGAACAAATTATAAAGGAAGAAAGCCGAAGAAATAATTACCATCGGCCTCAGCAGGAATGCCCAAATCCGGGCCGTCGGCCTCTTCGAAAGTAGTCGTCATCCTCGGCCAAAGTTGGATATCGTCCTCCTTGTCGCCATATACATGGTATCTTAAGAAGCCGAGGGCGGTCATCTTGTATTCGGTGATATAGTCCTTCACGCTCCTCGGCCCCCCTTCCAAGAACGCCTCCACCTGAGCGTCCAAGATAGAACTCTTCGGCGGGTCGTGCAGATTGAACCTCCCGGTATGGCCGAGAGAGGGAAACTCGGTGCCATTCTCACCAAGGGATACAAAAACGAACGTGCTCTTCCACCCATGAATGGACGAAGGCAAATCCGTGAAGCTCCTCTTCTTCGGCAGCTGTTGGAGAGTAGCATAGGCCGCACAATTTTTGTGGCTTCCTCGGCCTATCTGATACAGATTCATGAACAGAGCCGTCGTCGGCCTGTAGCCCAGCTCCTCACAGCGGAGCAAAAACCCCACCATCAAAGAGTAGCTGTTCGGCGTCAGCAAGGCCGGAGGGAGCCCCACCATGTCAAGGTATTCGGTGATGAAGGGGTGAAGGGGAAACCTCAGCCCCTTGGCGAAACTCATCGGGTATACTCCAAAGTATCCCGGTGGCGGATGAAGAACATGGTCCGTCGGCCTGGGTGCCCTAACCCGCCCGAACGGCCCAACGTACATCTGGGCAACCAAGTAGTCGGCCGCACTGCTCTCCGGCTTGATCAGGAAGATGTTTGTGAGATCCAGGTAGGAGATGCCCGGCCCACTCTTCGGCCTCCTTATTCTCTTCGGCTTATCTGCTCCCTTCACGGCAGACACCGGTCTCGGGCATGGAATAACAGCGGAAGTGGACGCGTTGTCCACCACTCGGGATGCACCTGCGTCCTCACCTTTTGAAGACGAGGCGGACTCCTCGTCCTCAACTTCGTCGTCCATCGGCTCTCCGGACTTGTAAGGACTTAAGTGTTGTATCTCCTCCTCGAACTTCTCAAGCACCTCATAGTCGAGTGACCTAGTGGAGGGCTGGTCGTCGTACGGATAGTAGTCTTCGTTCAAGCTCTTCATCATAACAACTACTACGAGCCTAAGGGGAATAACTTAGGATCTAAGGGTGTTCAAGCGCCTAACACTAGATCACTAGCCTAGGAAGCAAAGTATGCAAAGTACAGAAGATTGCGATGAACACTAACCTTGAACACGAAAAACACGAAGAACGAGCTTGGGAGTTTATCTCTCTAGAAATTTGGCCAGCACTTCGACAACTCAGAATGCAAATGAGGTTTCTCGTCGGAGGGGGAGGGGTATTTATAGAACCCCCCACCCAACGGTCACTACACGTGGCATCCTCCCAATGGCCACATCAACGGCCACCAATGGGAGGCCACCACGTCACCACAGGGCCAGGCCCAACCTACATACCAAGAGCCCAACGGCAAAACAGACTCTACGGCCTATACGCCTGCCGGCTTCACAAGTGCCAGCAAGCGCCCACAACGGCCTTTTTGCGTGCCAAGTTCACAAACGCCAACAATAAGGAGATGGCAACGGCCAGGAACGTAATGAACGCCCGTAACGGCCACAGAACCAAAGGAACAAAGAACCCACAGCCATCGGCTCCTCGTAACGACCCTTGATGATAACTCTTTACAAGCGATCTGTGCACAAGGGTTCTCCCACAGGGTTACCTTGGCCAGAAAATCGCCATGAGGGTTGGATTCAGGGGCACTACGGAGAGGCCGCTTCGGCCAGGGACTCAAGCAACTCCTTCACCCCTCACTCTCTTCGGCCTGAAGCAGTGGGGGACTGGGGGACTACACCGGCCTCAACAAAACAAAAAGGAAAAATGCAAAGAACAATGTAACCACAAAGCATGGCCACATCGTCGGCCAAAGGCACACAACGTCATCAGCAACGGCCAACTGGCCACCTAAGGCAAGGACACTCATCGTCCTCCGCCAACAGTTGATCATGATGGGCTCCTCGGCCAGGGACACGAAAGCCAGTCAGCTACGGCCAAAAGGAGTGCGCAAGCACCCTTACCGGCCACCCAAAGGAAAGGACACTATCGTCCTCGAAGCAAGGTTCAGCCTCAACAGCCTCATTGGCCCAAATGTAAACTTCAACTATCAACGTCCAAGAAATGGAAACAGCGCCAACGCCGCAACAGCTAACGGCCTGGGAATGCCCGCATCGGCAAAAAGCACTAAAGCACGGGAATCTACTCTCCTTCACTTCGTCTACGTCTCAGCTTAGAGAGTGGGGGACTCCTGATGGAGTATATGGGTCTGAGCCCCTGGACCCACATACTCAGAAGAACAGAAAGCACAAGACACCGAGTGGCGCCCACGTCGGCCAAGGGACCCCCGTCGGCCGAGAAGGTGCCAACTCAGATTATGGTCCTGAGCCCAAGGAACCCGGGTGCCCTCGTCGGCCGCGCCCTCGTCGGCCGTGCCCTCGTCGGCCACGCCCTCGTCGGCCACGAAGACCTCACAGAACCGGATTTTATACTTACTCATTCGTACAGCCCATTAATGGCTTTGTATTCGGCCCAGTAGCGGTCCAGTTGTAAATGGGCCTCCCAAGCCCAAGGCTTGGGAGCCCAGCCCGTATTTTCTCTATAAATACTCCCCTTGGGAGTAGTTATAGGGGTTACAAACTCATTCTATTGAAGCATATATTGCACTTCTCTCTCTAGCTCTCACTTCTCTCTAGATATACTCTATCACCTGGCCCAGGTCCATCCCTAGGCCCGACCCGGCTGATCGGGACCGAGACTGGGACAAGAGCGGGATTGGAGACCCGAACCGGGGGTTTTTGGGACGGTCTACAGGGTGATGATTTGGTGGACCGGACCGGCCGGTCCAGGATCGGTCCGGGTCCTTTTTTTTATTTTTTCGCATGATTTGGCTACTACTGCTAGGTGAGTAGGGCACGATGGTTAGGGGGATTTAGAGGGTGAGGGTGGGGTAAGAATGAATTTGAAAAGCCACAATTTTTTTAAAAACAGACTAGACAGTATACACGACCCAAGCCCAGTCCTGGTACCAACCCAGGCCGGTTCCAAGCATTCATCCCAAAACCTAATCATGTCCCAATCCCGACCCGGTTCATCTCTACATTCAATCAGAATATTAGAAAAAGTGATTTTCAAATCTTTAAATTTATTCGTAAAAAGGGTTCAGTACTTCAATGCTTGATTAATTAAAACATAAGGGGTTTTGACGGATTTTTCAAATCACAAGAAGCTAATGCGCTGAATTTCTATATCACGGGTTTACATGGGTTTGGTGCATTAAACCGTAGCTAATTAAGGGGCTGTAATACCAACATGAATTCGGTTGAAGAACGTGGGGTCCAAAACTCAAATCAGCAAGCAGATCCGATTTGATACCCATAGTGATTGAGATTTTTAAAAATAAAAAAGCACAGCAAGTACTAAACAACACACGACTCTCTACAAAACAAAATCTTTGCCACAGATTCATTCTAATTCAAATGGCTCTTTAAAAATACTGCATATACTCCGTATATAATCATAAACAGCAGAGAAATGTGGAACATGTTGTCACTTGATGGATGCACGAGAGAGGGTGGATGTGCATGGCCCCGCAGACGTCATGAAAGGGATGCCCTTGAAAGTCGCCACCCCATTTTCATCTGTAAACAAGTTCTGCATTCATTCACTCAAAACATGTTAATCCTGTTTGATAATGGTCAAGCAGAGTATAATGTTGGATTATGAGCTAGATTTCTGCCTAAAATTTTGATCAGACCAGACTTGACTTCCATAGTTATAAAATACACAGAGACCAGACATTTACCAAACTAGATCAAACCAGACCGGACTTAACTTCCATAGTTATAAAATACTCGGAGACCAGACATTTACCAAACCAGACTAGTTCAGACCTGACCAGCAATTTTCAGTCCAAAAGAAAACATCCTAAAATATGGAGGGAAAGGTGTGCTGAAGTCCAAAATGGCAATTTTTGACAACAATTCAATATATTCTAACAAATTGCTTCAAATAGGAGTAAAAACAACTAGTTTCATAAATAGGAGTCTTCTTTTATCCTTAAAAATACATGAGTCCTTCAGTCCTAATATAAGATTCAAATTCAAATGAAAGATACATACCACAGCTATTTTATCAAACTGCTTCTTTTTAGGGTTCAATACATCCTCTGGTTTACCATCGTGTCTGCACCAAAAGTAATTTGAAATTTGAACACATTTAAAGATTATTAACTTGTAGAGATAAGCACACTGAAGTTATAATTCAGTGTGCATATAGAGTGCAAATGCAGAACACTAGAATAGTACTGAAGATATAGGAATGTAGTATTCTGGGTTCTGGATAATGCTAGGGGTTGGGAAGGTAATGCTGTGAAATTTATTTCCTTGTGTTTGATTTTAACTTGAAAGTACAAAAGTAAAGAAATACGGAGTATAATTGTTTTTTCTTTACTTGTATTTAATTTGACGATTTGAACAAATATCTATAATAAATATATAAAGTTTCAGCCTGTATTTAATTTTCCCACAATCCCTTCCAGTTTTCCTTGTATTTATTTTCCTTCTTACTTTCTTAGTTTCTTTCCTTGGTATTCAGCATGTATGACTATGCAGATCATTTGTTTGCCCAGCGCGGTGAGATAACAAAACAAGATTACCCAACGAGAATAACCTCGAGCAGAGCTGTGCAGACCAAAAAATGCAAGAGCTAAAAACATACCCTGAAAAGGAGACAAATTCCCCAACTTTTGCCCCTTCTGGTGCTAATAGAGGCTCAACCACTGTGTGATCGTCATTAGATGCACATAGTACCTAGAAGAAATATGCATATATATAATGTATTATTGTAATATAACGGACCGCTTGGCATTCTGTGGGTTAACTTAACATCAACTAAATTCAAATGCTGGAGAAATTCAATGTGTACAACATATTCGGATGGCATATCGAAACAAATTCATCATAAATTAGGCAACGTCAAGATCGAAAGAGTAGCATATCTGGTTATAGAATCTTGAAAAGATGCATAATAGATATGCAGGATAGTAGAACACTGAAACATCGTTCATGCGATAATGTACAGTCATCTTTAAAAATAGTTTACACTCTATTCCGTCCAAATAATATAGGTCTCTCTGAAAAAAGTCCAGGATATAGAAGTGTTCGTTTTCATTTAAACAAAAGAAGCTACTTTTCATTATATTACAAATGTACTGTCCCCAAAAAATCCTCAAACAGGTATAAGTGTTTTGAACATAGCTACGCAAACAAATAAATTTAATAACATAACTCTATTTGATGATTTCCCGTAGTTGTACAATAGTCGATAGAAGCTACTTTTCATTATATCAAGTGTTTCTATACCTTTCAAAAAATAAAAATAGTGTTTCTAAAGCTCAAAAGTTATAAGTTTGTGAAACATAATTGTTTTGGAGGGACAGATGCAACATTATTTAAGTACTTAACTCAAACTATTGTGTACTGGGATATAGTCATATAGAACATAAAATGACTGAGCAAAGATGTTAACAAATATATGGTGCTTAAAATACCATTCCCTCAGATGTCATGTCTCTAAGTTTGGATGGCTTCATATTTGTTATGAGCACCACATGGCGATTCTGCAACACAGACAGTTGCAATATATTTACATATGAATTCTGCAGATAGCAAACACTGCCACACTGGATGCAGAAATGTATTCTTATTCATGATGACATTAAAAAAACATACAGTCAAGTCTTCTGGGGTAAAATACTTGGCCAGTCCACTGACCACTTGACGACATTTAGCTTCTCCAACATCTATCTCCTCAACTAGTAAACTGTGCAAGTAAATTAAAGAAATAAGGTCCAAATAAGTTTGGCTGGTCATACATGGTTTACTTTTTCACCAAAATCTGACCATAGTGGTGTGCTCAATTTCTGTTTGAAAGAGAAAATTCCCTAAATAGGACTAAAAACAATGCAAATTTTCTCAAGTAGGAGTTGCATTGTTTTCTTCTCAAAATAGGACTCATGCACTCCTATTTAAGGAGGTTTTTATTCTTTTGTTCTTTGAATACGACCAAATCGGTACTATTTTAGAAAGAAAACATAGTTGGTCCTACTTTAAAACTTTGTCTATGTTTTGGTCTTATTTTGAGCAATTTCTGTTTGAAATATATATATATAAAAAGGAAAAGGGAACAACGTAAAGAAAAAATGGTTAAAATATTAGATATGTATTCAGCAAAAGAGAAGGTTTAAGAGGATAGCTATACCTGTCTGCCGATGGATGCTTCCATGCATTTCGAATATGACCAATCTGAATTTTAAGCAAACTTACGCTAATGTCTTTATCTTTCTCGTCCACCTCTTTTTTGGGAACTTTCTTGTCTACAGTTGTTTGATTATCAGCGGTGGCTATTTTCTTCCATATTTAAGAAAGAGAAGGCAAGAAAGTCATCTTTAGGGAAGTTATATAATTGAAGTAAAACTGAAATGTGTAACTGAATAAGAAATCTTTGATGGTCAGCCACTAAATTTGCAATCACCGTTTTATAAAGACACGCTCTTCTTCCTGCATATTATTCTGGAATAGAGCGACACATAATACTACCAGAAATAATATTCATACTGCAACTTTACAAACAAATAATTATGACATTAAACTGAAAGATCTGGCAAATAATATACCAAATCAGCTTGCTTCTTAGGTTTTACATCTTCTGAGCTACCACACTCTTTCTTCTGTGGCTCGGGATTCTTTACGTTTGAATCAGCTTCTCCCTTCTTCAAAGTTTTTACTTCCTAAAACAGGTTTTAAACCATGAATTCATTACTAGAATCAATTTTTAGTTTTATGCTAGCTATTTGAATATTTCAAGTCTTTACGCTATACATCTTGTTTACAATTTCCTAGCACTAACTTTGCAGTCTGCACTATACAGAGAATACATTTCAGGCTCTACATGAAGGATAATAGCAGACAGATTTTACAAATAAAAACTCACCGGCAGGGGGAGAGTACTCATAGGAGGGACAAATTTACCCTTCTCAAATTCGATTCTTTCAAACAGATTAGCAGCAACTTCCTTGCTCTATACGGGAAGAGAGAATGAAAGGAAAAGGGCTTGTGAGAATTAAACTGTAGTGCTAAGGATGATTCCAGAAAAAGTTCCACAATAAGGTGGATCATTGTGCTTTTTCATGGTAAAGTATGTAATTCTTTCCGAAACAGAGGGTCTGAATATACCTGGATGTAATCCATCCATCTTAGCAAGTGTGGCAATTTTATTCTATCCTCTTTTGAAAGGCCAATCTGAAAAACAGCAAAACATGTTATATATACTACTAGTATTCAGGACAACAAGTTTCTAGTTACAAGTTTAAGAATATTAAATTCTGATATTGCGATTAGAAGAGAATAAAGTACATCACAATAAAGCACATTGTACATAGTTACATAATCGGATAAAAGGATACTTTTTAGTAAAAATGGCCAAGTCGGCCACTAGGCACCCCTAGATGGCTAGAATGACTCACTCCTAGACAGGCTAGGGGCTCAAGTGCTCAACTAGGCATGCCTAGGTGGGATATACGCCTGATTAGACGCTTTAGGCCAGCTAGCTGCCACTAGAGCGTCCGATGGGCGCCTAGCACTTTCTGCAACAATAGTTAAATTGAAGTGCATTAATAGAAGTTAAATTGTGAACTACTACAGTACTACTGCAGTAATAAAATCAGACAAAAGCCGAATCCTGATATATGTTTCAATTTAGAAACCAGTTAACAGTTAGCAGGGGCCAGGGAGGACTCTAAAGTAGACAGAAGAATGTCTGAACTCACATAACATGTAACAAGCATTTGCATATGAAACGCACCATATTGAAAATGGAACTCTAGAGCAGTCTTATACTCTTATGAAGTCTTTGATTTTTCAAGAGCAACAATCACATAATTAAGTGCGATAATAACTCCTATAGGAGAGTGGGGAGTCAGGAGTGCATACCACGGTTGAGTGAACAATGGAAAAGACAATGATATCTGCAGCTGTATGCTCAAACCCGTGGCCTAAAAGAACAGATACTTTAACTAAATCTTCATTTAATTCGCTTAGAGCCTTAAAGCACAGCCCTGGATCCTCTGGGAATTTGTCAGCAAAATCTACCCATTTCATGAACTGCAAGAAGATAGCAAAATTCAACATTGATAAGACTACAAACCAGTACTCTACTGCTTTATTATTACACTTATGCAACTTACTTAACCTCAAGGAAATGTCAAAAACGACGAGTACCTCATTATCCTTTAGCAAGGCAGCAGCGCTTGGGGAAGAACTGGTAATTTCTAAGCAGAGGCTCTTTATATCTTTCTCTAGGATGCGCGAAAATTGTTCCTACAGACATCCACAGGAATAAATAAAAAGGTTTTACGGATTGGATGTTGAACTTGTAAGAGAAAATCGAGTAACTTAGGAAATTACTCGATCCAATGATAGTTCACTGCAGAGAGCAGTGGCAACTGTATGCTTCCGATTTGACGCCATTGTAATGCTCGGCACACTTCTCGTCTGCTGACGCTCTTCACTCTGGCAATTTCACTACCTTGTAAAAAATTTAATTAAAAGTTAGAACCAGACGAGGAAATGAGAAATCTTCGTAGGTTTTTCGACTTTGGGCCAGCCAATTCAGGAAATTGCAGCACGGGCTCTGAAGGACTGTTTTGTACTTTGACATGTGTTTAATAAGAGCTGCTTGAAAAATTATGAATGCTTGATAATAAGAATTCTGGTGAACCTAATATTCATTAAAACAAAAATGATTAAAAATCTATAAAAACATAATAAGTGCATAATACAATCACAAATAGAATAAGACATGGCCCTCTGTCCCAATAATAGAACCTTTCATCGTTCTAATATTTAAATACATCGATAAAAGAGTTCTAACTTCACAAATTATTACTACCTCCTTTCCGAAATAATCGTCCTGGTTTGACATTCACACAGATTAAGAAAGTGAAATTGACTTCACATTGTAGCGACCTCGTTTGGCACTATAGCGACACTGTTTGGCACTGTAGCGACATTGTTTTGCACTGTTTGTCAGTGTTTTGTATAGATTTATTTACCAAATAAGGAAATGAGACAATTATTTCGGGACGAATCGAAAAGGAAAGCAGGACAATTATTTCGGGACGGAGGGAGTACTAACTAGTGAATGTATTCTTGTTGCCAAAAGATCTGTGCGATGACATAGAAAAATTAATGAATGGTTTCTGATGGAGGGCTCGAAACTTGATCAGAAATGGAGAAGCTGGAACGGCTTGTGTAGACCGAAGGAAGTAGGAGGCCCAGATTTCAGGAGGCTTAGGGAATTTAATTCGGCTATGCTAAGCAAGCAAGGGGTGGCGGCTCACTACAGATGAGAATTGTCTCATGAGCCTGGTTCTTAAAGCAAAGTATTTTCCCAACTCAAATTTTTTAAATGCAAGTTTGGGTAATAATCCTTCTTTTATTTGAAGAAGTATTTTTTACTCAGACATTTCTTAAAAGTAATATCCAGCGGAGAGTAAAAAACGGCATTGATGTGCAGGCTTGGACAGATGCATGGTTACCAAGACAGGAGCCAAGGAAGATTACCTCGGCTCGTCCCCCAGGTATCTGCGATATGATTGTGCCAGCTATTCGTGATATTACACGGAAGATGTGGAATAGGGATAAAATTCTATCTTTGTTTAACGTGGAGGATAGAAATTTAATTTTTAGTATTCTGATCAGCTCGCAAGGCAGGAAGGACGGATATTGGTGGAATGGGGAAAATAATGGATTATATTCTGTGAAGAGCTGCTACAAGTTATTCATGGGTGAAATACAGGCTAGAGGCTCGAACGGATGGAAGAAACTCTGGGAGCTTCGGGTTCCACCAAAGTTTACATTTTTCATGTGGCAGGTATTGGATGCCACTCTTCCAACTTTTGACAATCTGAGGAAAAAAGGGGTTGCAATAAAGAGTGGGTGTAAATTGTGCGGCGAGGCTTCGGAATCACTAGATCATGATATGCGTTCATGTGATCGGGTCCAAGAAGTGTGGAGATTGGTGGGCATCCCAATGGGGCAAGCGCATATCTCGGTGGATGTATGGCGGAGGCAGCAGCTGGATACGCTTGACATGGAAGGCAGGGTAAGTTTATTTCTATCCTTCGGAGTATATGGAAAAGGAGAAACTATGCGGTGTGAAGGATCAAATACACGAGGCGGCTAGTGTTCTAAATGGGGCGACTGGAATGATGGGCAGTTGGAAGGAGGCTCAAGGCACTGACGTGGTGAAGGTGAAGCTGTCTGACATTGGGATGGAGAAGTGGGAAAACCCCGAGAGCGGAATTATCAAGATCAATGTGGATGGGGCGGTCAACCAGGAAAGTGAAGTTCGGGCATGGGGTTGGATTGCTAGGAATGAACATGGTTAGTTTGTCAAGGCTATGGGAGTTTCTCACAAGGCAGGATGGACGGAAACAGAGACAGAGGCATCGAGAGTCAGTGATGCTATTCTGGGAGCAACCGAGGAAAACTGGCATCATGTGGAGATTGAGATGGATGCTCTTCAAGGGATACAAATAAAGAGAGGGCTCTTCGTACCTTCACCTCATTATTGATGATATACGAAAGATTTTAGAAACAAAGAGTAATTTTATTGTCTCTTTTTGTAGAAGGTCTACGAATCGTACTGCTCGTGCGTTAACAAGAGGACGTGTATTTATCTCACATCAGAGGGTTACCTGTGATAATATCTCTCAATGTATTGTTAGCCAATCGGCGAATGGCTTGTTGATTTAATATATACTCCCTCCATCCCAGATTTATCTTCATTCTTTCCTTTTCGGGCCGTCCCAATTTTATCTCCTTATTTCCCTTTTTAGCAACTTTTACCCTATTCATTTACTGTAACACCCCCTACCCGGCCCGGAAGTCTGAGCAGGGAGCGCTACCCGCAGTGCCGGAGCACCAAAGCGTCTACTAACTATTCTATTTTAAAATATCTCATTAATATTTTTCTTTCAAATCAACTAATGAAAGTAATTTTATGAATGTTCATAATTGCAGAAGCATCTTTATTTTATACATGCCACATAATTGTTTAGTGTTGCTATTACATTATATTAGTAAGCTAACTACTAAAAAATGAGACATTACTAAATGCAAGTGTGACTCTGTGCTGATTGGCAGATTGCTCTACTGCTACTTTTGTTTTCTTCTCTTAAGGGCTGGCCAAATGTATAGCATGTTGTTTGGATGAGTGTTATATGTTGATTTTTTTTAATATTATAATGACAGCATGCATTTGTTCCCTTCTAGAGTGCTTGGCCATGTGTATATGTATCTTTATATGTGTAACATGCATTCCATACCATACTTCAAGTTGTTGCAATGTGTCCATATGTACGTACAACATTATGTGACTAGTGGGCAAAATAATCTAGCATCTTCATTTATTTTTCCTTGATATTACGAAAATTAACTTGTTAATATTGATGGGGTTATGGGACTAGGTCCAGAGCCTAATCGGCCCAGGCCCCGGACTTGGACCAGCAGGCCCAAGCCCAGTGATCCAGAGCTCATTCCGACCCAACCGATCAGGCCCATCAAAGAGTGAAAGCCCAGGGCGGCCTACCGTCCAGCCCAGCAGGGAGCCTGCCTACCAGCCCAGTCAGCAGCCTGCCTTCCAGCCCAGTGGGGAGTCTGCCTTCCATCCCAGTGGGGAGCCTGCCTTCCAGCCTAGCTAGGAGCCTACCGACCACCAGCCCGCTGGGAGCCTGCGATCCAGCCCAACTGGGAGCCTGCGGTCCAGCCCAGGTGGGAGCCTGCCTCCAGCCCATCGGGGAGCCTGCCTTCCAGCCTACCCGGGAGCCTGCCTTCCAGCCTACCCGGGAGCCTGCCTCCAGCCCGGTGAGAAGCCTTCCTCCAGCCTAGCGGGAAGCCCACCGCCCAGTCCAACAGGAGGGAGCTCAAGCGTCCAACCTGCCAGCCAGGAAGAGTAACGACCAACAATCAATGCGCTACTTAATTATGTGTTTAATTCCGTGTTAATGTTGTAATTAATTTAGTCATTATTATGTTCAGCAGTTACCATTTGTAATCGCCTATAAAAGGCAATTCGAATTTCAAATACAGATATGCTATTTCTGGCTAACTTTCCATATTCGTACTTTCCTAATTCTTGCTTGAGTGTCGTACGTAGCTTTCCTAAAAGCCTACGAGCGTCCTATTTTGGACCAACATTGGTGCTTTCATTGAGAGCCTCTATTGTCTCTCACATAACTTGAGTAGGAATCACACAGGAAGATGGCCGGAATCTCGTCTCGACGTGACCATGTCTCAGTCCACACCGAGGAGTCCGCCCGGTCTGGCCACCAGCGTGCCCTCGACAACCATGCACAGGGCGACCTAAGGGCGATGCTCAACCACACCCAAGGTGAGCGCTCGGTCCGCAGCCGGCGGGGGGAGGCCGACGTCATGCTCTGTGCATGGACCCGGCTCGACTCAATTCCGGGGTGGAAGCCCTGCAGGAGGCAACTCGGGTTCTGGGGACCTTGGCTCAAAATTTCCAACAGATGGTGTCTGGCGGAAATGTGGATGAGCCTGTCCGTCAATAGACGCCAGCGGATGTGGAGGTGTCCTCCAGGTGGCGTGATGAGCGACGCTATGGATCCAACCAAAACAGGGGGGAAGAAGTCTCCCATCGGCGGGGGGAAGAAGTCTCTCAGCAGCGTAGCCGACCCCATCGGCAGACGTGGAGGGGCGCCCAGCAGGGGCGCCCAACGCAGATGGAAGGAGGCGAGCCCTCTCGCCACTCTCACCGGGCGAGCAGTCGGACTGGCTCCACGGAGAGGCAAAACGTGGGGCCCCGACCTCACGTGCACGGACGACTTGGAGGTGCCGCTGGACATGCCCAGCCCCGCGCTGGAGCTGTTCGGGGGAACCCACCGCCGGCCGAGGTGGAAGATCTACGAATGCGCCTTGACGAGTTGAGAAGGAGGGTCGTCGGGGGGAGCCCTACACGGCCGACCTCCGGATACCCGAACCCTTCACCCGGGCGGTCATGGATGCATTGTTGCCGAGGGGCTACAAGCCATGCGCCATTGAAGCATACAAGGGCGCTTCTGACCCCCAGCATCATGTATCTCGGTACCTTTCCTACATGGTCATGATGGGGTACGAGGACGCCATCCGATGCCGCGGTTTCTCCGCCACTTTGGATGGCCCGGCTCGTGAATGGTATGACTCTCTACCCGACGGGAGTATCACGAATTTCCGTGAGTTGGCTCAGCGCTTTCTCTTGAGGTTCGCGAGCTCCCGAGACGTCAAGAAAAACTTCAGCCACCTGTTCGGCCTAAAACAGGGGAAGAAGGAATCATTGTCGACCTTCCTAGCGAGGTGGAGGGCCGAGTCAGTCAAGGTTCAGGGCCTTGATGACAGGACCGGGGTGGCCATGCTCACAAACTCTATCCGATCGGGCGAGCTTTACAAAGATTTCGTCAGAAGTCCCCCTACCTCGTACGAGGAGGCGCTCGGCCGTGCCGATCGGCAAGCCGAGGCGGAGG